GAAATTATTAGTTTCAATATCTTCAAAAAGGGGAATTGGAATCATATACAAGAAATTATTAGTTTCAATATCTTCAAAAAGGGGGATTGGAATCATATACAAGAAATTATTAGTTTCAATATCTTCAAAAAGGGGGAATTGGAATCATATACAAGAAATTATTAGTTTCAATATCTTCAAAAAGGGGGATTGGAATCATATACAAGAAATTAGTTTCAATATCTTCAAAAAGGGGGATTGGAATCATATACAAGAAATTATTAGTTTCAATATCTTCAAAAAGGGGGATTGGAATCATATACAAGAAATTAGTTTCAATATCTTCAGAAAGGGGGATTGGAATCATACACAAGAAATCATTAGTTTCAATATTTTGTGAAACTAACAGCACGGTTAAACCCCACAGATGAAGTGTTGAAGTTGAAGCAGATGCATGATGAATTACAAGACTACTACCCTAGCGATTCTCAAATTAAAAGTCCCATTGCTGAAATGAAGAGTAAATATAAGAAGGTTGGTATAATGCCCAGTATGTTACCACTGTAGTATAATCCATATAGATTTCATTATGTCATAAGAAGGTTGGTATAATGCCCAGTATGTTACCACCGTAATATAACCCATATAGATTTCATTATGTCATATTTTCATTAATATTTGTTTTTTTCTTTTAGAAGTTGTGTCTAGCTCCATTAATTAAGATATACTGAAATAATCCTAAATCACCAATTTCTGGAACGACTCCTCTATCGACCATACTAAGCTCGGTACCAAAAGATGCTGGATTGGCTCATGTGGCAGGTGTTAATATCATGTAACTGACACTGTTTATCTTTTGTTTGGAAACAGACTCGTATTATCTTTACCAACAACATACATAGCCTCATTGAAATCATCTCTATACGTGTAGTATCTGAAACATGTTTTGAATTTTTAAGGCCGACACTACACTTAAGCTTGTAAAATAAGTGGACTCATCATAATGATACATTGTTAGTGTTTTATTAAAAATTTTTGTTGAAAAAAACTAAACAATCATGAAATATTCACTCACAAAATAAATAAATTAATGATACCTACACTAAACAGTCTTTTATCTCTGACACCATATAAGCTTTAATATATGGAAACTGGGAAGGTCAAACTTCAACCAAAAAACTTGGCAGAACATGTGAGGAGTAATACAGGACATATGGAATACTATTTCACATCATACATTTAATAACATAAAAAGTTAATAGGCCTAAAATTTCTCATAAATAGTCACGCAAGTTGCAGATATTTAAATTTAAAATGGACAAAACTGAGAAGAAGATGGGAAAAAAAAATTATCTGCACCAATATGGGATTTTTATCACAAATTTTAGGCCTGTTGGTGTTTAAACCATATCGCAAAAAGTTGATTAAAGCAAATATATATAACACTTGTGCATTGTAAAAGTTATTCACTTCTCTTTCATATTTTTCTGTAATCATTTATTGCTGTAATGATAAACTGATTCTTTATTTATAATTACTTAGTGTTTGTGACTCCTGTACGTGTATCGCCCGAGTATTTCTTTAATTATTTCCAGTGCTGTATATTATGAACATGAAAGTATATGTGAGATGCAATTTACATCAAGTGAAAAACAAAATACTTTACTGATGAATGAAGCTGCTTAAATACAAACTTTAGTGTTATAAGAATCTATTAGATATCCTGACTGTAGAGAGAGGTTTTAAGTTCTTTTGTATCTATAATTGGGAGTGAAAGATCTAGTATCCAGAGCCACACTTTGATTTTCTTCCACCTGTGCTCGGTGTTTTATCTAGGTTTTCAATCGTATGTGTCGTTTTCTGAAAAATCAACATTAATATTGGGAAAAAAAATTCATGTTTCAAAAAAAGAGTGCTTGTGTCTAATTGTTGTATGTTCTTCATGGAGAAGAAATGTATTTCTAGACTAAAACTGTTTGCATTTGGTCTAGTTTATGAGTAATGTATTTTGAAGTAAATCCTCAGGTACGTGTGTAGCTTGTTTTTTGTGTGGATGTGTATTGTATAACCTGTGTTAATATATTTTCACGTGTGTATTTTTGCTTTCCTAGGTTGAACTATATATATAAGTACACATGATTTGTGTTTCTGTGGAAGTTTAGTGTAAATAAATTTGTTCTGAATGATGTTCAGTGTCTGTGATGTTAGATTTTTGGATAAAGCTTCACTCAACATGGACAAATTTGTAAAATGTTTTTTTTTTTGCCTTTTTAATTTTATGCCTTTTGTGCTTCAGCTTTGAATAATCATGATCATGACTTATCACCATTTCTAACTGGGGACCCTGGTTAACAATTGTAAAAGAATAAAATAGTTTTCTTATTAAAAAAAAAAAAAAAGTTTTACTAACAGTTTTACTTCACCAAATTTTATCCAAACAGTTGTGACAACTTCATGGCTATCATTTTGATTGTTCAGTTAAAGCTCATTAACTGTACTTCATGTTCCAGTTAAACTCTGAGTGTGTGTGTGTGTGTGTATATAATAAATACATTTCAGAATGGTTACACTAAGTGTTTCTTATAAAGTCTTGTTTTTAGTAGTTGTCCAGTGCATGTGGGTGTGTAAGTACTTACTGTTACTTCAGATGGTACTTAATCTCATTACTTGGTGTATTTCTCCTGTATTATACTTGTAATTTACAAACTATGTATCACATGTAGAGAGTGTTTTTGTGCTGTATGTTGCTTATTGCAGTCCCCTAATAATTTTAATTTTGATGGTTTGTTAACAGTACCACATTTCAGTAATGTCTTTAGCTGTAAATGAATTGATTGTTGTCATTACTAAGTGTATATTTTTAGCTATGATATACAGGGTGGGTAAAAAGTCTGGTCACCCTCCCATACTTAAAGCTAATGTTAACAGTTTAGTTTATCGTATGTTAGTGGGGCTTTATCAAACAGGTTGTGGCAAAGGAACGATCGAAACAAAACAATTGTTGAATGTTTCACTAAGGTCACCCCCTGATATGTTAAGGAGGATGTAACATCACACATGAATCTATCATCCCATGTCATTAAAATGAAGGCCAACTGATTATTAATCAAACCTTTTGTTAGTCTGTGTCAGTACAAGATATGTAAATATGTCAATATGCAATAAATTCTTTCTTTCACGTACACTATCTTTATTTGAGGGGAGGCTGCCCAGACATTCGCCTAGCCTGTATGTAGCTAATATAGTATTGTAGTACAGCTGATATTGAAAGGTTCTTGGAGTTTGAAAATACCATGTAATGTTCATTAAATTTAATTTTACATAGTCAGGCCGAATATTTGAACTGCATTGTTTAAGTTAAACACAAGAAGAAGAAATAAAAGTGTCATATTTTTGTAACTTTTTCTTTATTACACATACAAATATTTCACGAGTTGTTGGTTTTTATACGAGATCTGTAATTCTATCATTCATTCTCGCAAGGAAATGCAGAGCTGCCACGGATCAGGCCTTTCTTGGGTATGAGAAAGTCTAGCAGTTTAGAAAGTCTTCAGACGGTCATCCAAGAGCTGAGAAGAGAAGAAACATACACGTTGGAAGCTAAAACCACGGACGATAAAAGAACCAAAAGTGATCGTCTTTGTTTAGCAGCTGATCAACCCTTTGAAGGAACCCGTAAGTTAATATGTTTAAGATACACAGTGTCTAGATTTGGTGATTTAAAATTATCCTTGCTTAGAATTTCATGCATAGGTCTTTCAGTGACGTTAAAATGTCTGCAAATCCCCACCCCCCACATCATATGGAACAGTTCCAGTGTTAATTACTAAGTGAGAGTTTAGTGTGTTTTATTTTTACAAGGCATATCTGGATAAGCTACATATTTCTACCCAAACATAGCTTTAGTCTTCACAAAAATATTTACTGGACATGTTTTATTTATTTACGAATTTACTTGTAATCACAGTAGTTTATAGCTGTTGGAATTGGTGAAGGATTAGGTAGTATTTAGAATTTTTTTCATGTTCATACTTGGAGATTATATTGATAAAATTGGGTTTCATTCGTAAAGAAATGTTTTTCCGTTGTGTTTCAAAGTTTTTTACATCTTTTTTTTTTCAACGACAGAGGAAGTGAGTGGAAGCGTGATTAGTTCTGGAAGTCATGGTTGTGCTTCCCTAGCAGCTATGTTCAATTTTTCTTCTCCTAGTAGTGATTGTATCCTTGACGAATATCTTAGTCCTCATCGTAAATCTTCAAAGCAAAGTAAGAAAAGGGGATTGTGGAAAGGATTAGGCTCTGTATTTAAGTAAGTATTATACAGTTGCTCGAAACTTAAAAATTGATGAAATGATGTCTTACCTAACAAACGCTTTGATTAGTATCTTCTTTCACTACAGCCAAGGGTTGCTGAGGAGTAGCAGGATGAAAGAAATTACAGGTTTAAACCTTTAACGGTTTTTTTTAAAATTGTTAATCTCACTATCATATCAACCATTAGGCCTTTAACTCCCACGAAGATTAACTTTGCATTTAACTTTTCTCTGATTGAATTTCTTCATCTCCTTTACTCTCTTCTGCTCTTTATTTTTTGTCTGCTTGCCACTATTTATACATCTATCACTTAGGCCTTCTAAAAATCTCTATATCCTCGACATCAATGAATTACACGCGACGTTCAATAGCCTCGACATCAGCGAATTATAAATGCAATGTACAATTCTTACCGAGTTACGTAATCAAGCTCGTCATAACGATTGCCTTTTAAAATAATTGCTTTTAACTCTGGTGTTCTGGGATCAACAAAGCGAAAGGAAGATCTACTAGATATTAATTAAATTATAAATATATCAATTCATGTGAATATGACTGAAAAATTTAATTTTTTCTGAAAAGGTGGTGTCTATTTACCTGTGACCATGCTGTGTAGATATCCCTATTCCTTCTGTTTGTCTGTCGTGATCATCATGTGGGTTTTAACCTCTATTCTTACTCTATAAACTTGGAGAAAGTTGATATTATTGTTATTGGGTAGCTGCAATCCTGTAGCAGAAACCTTACATTGTCAGACGTATCCTTCATCCTGTTCATCACTTCTTCTCAGCACTACATTATTTTAGAAAATGGTGATCATAGCATCCATGATCTTCTGCAGTTTGTACCTGACATCTTTTGGTAAAACATGTAAAAGACGTCTCTCTCTCTTCTTTTTTTTTAAACTTATCATAAGGACACGTAAAAGAACAAAACAATTTACTACACTATTTTTGGAAAAAATAATTTTTTATTAAATGTTAACGTAGTTTGGGTTTGGGCTTGTATTAGCATTGAAGTGATTCAATCATTCCGTTATGTGGAAGTCTTGTAAATGTTCAAATACAAATGTGTAATAATAAATGATAGGCTAGAGACTCGAGATAAAGATAATATCAAGTGCGTACATTTGTGATTTACTATGAACATACTAGGTGTTGTATTGTTTAAAAATATTTCCTATTTTGATATGAAGAGTCATGTGGATTATTTGTTATGGATTCCTATTTTGATATGAAGAGTCATGTGGATTATTTGTTATGGATTCCTATTTTGATATGAAGAGTCATGTGGATTATTTGTTATGGATTCCTATTTTGATATGAAGAGTCATGTGGATTATTTGTTATGGATTCCTATTTTGATATGAAGAGTCATGTGGATTATTTGTTATGGATGTAATTATTTATACTATTCTCCATATTTATTCTTAACCATTTCATTACTCTAAAAAATTTAGAAGTGAATATTTAAAACATTTATTACATATCATTTTAAGTGTTCACCAGTTATGTTAGAAACTTTGTTTTTAGTAATTTTAAGTTTGTTTGTTTTTTTTCCTGAAAGGATGGTCGACTTAAACCAAATGATCAGCTGTTAAATATTAATGGAACCTCCTTGCTCAACATGACAAATACAGAAGCTATGAAGACACTAAGAAAGGCCGTGATCCAAGAGGAAGGCCCAAGTGTCATTCCACGTGCCATCGCTGTGAAGATTGCTCGTAGGGTGTCAACTCTCGGTGTAGTTGATACAGCAGGTGAAAGTCAAGGCTCACCTAAATCAAATTGTCAAAATGACTCCGTGATTGGCTCTGACGTTAGATATAGATTTCCAGAAGGAAATATTATTCAGAACTCTTCCATTCAAGTGGAAAACAAAGGTAGTGAAAGCTTGGGAAAAGAAAAAGGGGAAAATCTGTTGAAAAATCATACTAATGTCTGTATTCCTAAACTTAGTTCAAATTTTGATGAAAATATGAATGAAAAAGAAAAAAATCAGGATAAAATTGTCGATCCACTTACTCTAAGCAGAAATCCTGTAATTGACAGACTAACAGGACAGAAATCTCAGATCCAAACGAATTGGACGAGTCTTCTCCATGATGAATCTTATTTGTGTCGTGGTCGTGAACGTTTAGGTGGTAAACTAGTTGGTAACACATACAGTGATTTAGTGCAATCTCCGACAGTTAACATGCCTTCTTGTAGCAGTGTAATGATTGAAGTAGAATCCTCACATGAAAACCAACTAACCAGTGTTAAAAATCGACCGGGAACCCCCGAACACTTGTTGTCAGCACCTGGTACAAAACACAGAAGCAAGGACAATCACGATGAGAAAAACAATTCCGCAGTCAGTATCATAACCAATCAGTAAGTTTCCTTCATTAACTTCAAATGCATGGTTTGTTTTCTAGTAATTAAATAAAAATTCTGAATTGCATAGCAGTCAAGTGGATTTTAACCATTATTCCTTATGCTTCCTGTATCTAGTACAATCTGCTAATTGCACTGTTAATTGAACACTTCTTTTATTATTATTATTAGTCTGTTTAAGATTTTTGTATGTTTGAAGATTAAACTATTGTAATTTTTAGAGAACAACAATTCAGTAATAATTTTAACTAGAAGCTAGATCCTATATTATACAAATTTTTCATTTAATATATTTTTGTTCCTATAATCAACACCATGTCTTGTTTAAAAATCACGATGGTATAACTGGAAAAAAAACCCCATTATGATACCATTGCATACAAGTAAATTTCTGTGTACTCAATTGATGAAAATAGCCCAAAAAGTTTTTTTTTTTTTACTCTTAACTTCAATAGCATTCCTGCTGATGATGGAAACCCTTTTAATCTCTCCCGAGATGGCTTTGGTCGACAAAGTGTTTCAGAAAAACGTAATGCTCAGTTGGATGTTCATAATATGGATGCTTTTCAGAAAAACAAACAAACCAAGGAAGAAAGAGAGAATCAAAAGCATATTCAGAATGATAAAAAGGACAAGGTAGAAATGGAACATCAGGCACAACATCAACAAACATATGAAAACCACAAATTACTCCACTATCCATGCTGTAGAGATCAAGTTTCTGAAAGAAAGCTTGCAGATGGTGAGAAGTGTAGCTGACTAGAACATGTTCTTAAGTTGTAGAATAAAGTATAACATTCATGTCTTGATACTCCATTTTATATTCATCCTGGGTTTTAAACCTTATAGCATAATAAACGTACAACTTTCATTATTGTTTACTTATAGATTGGAGATGAACATTATTGGTAATAATTGTAGAGACAGTTAGTAAAATGGGTGTAAAATACAAATATTATAGGATTTCTCACCCCACCCCTCCTTTGTGTAGAAATGAGTTGCACCAGAGTATGGTCATGTGTTAATGGTTTAAAGAGTGATTGGCTGTTATCCAACCATTGACAGTGCCATAGTAGCATAATGCTTTAAAAGCTATATCTATAGTATTTTGGTTGAATACATTCAGAGTTTCCAGGACAGAAATAACAAATGTGTAGAAATTGAAGTTTTAGCTGGTAAAGACAACTAGATGCAACAGATGGAGGTGAAACTTTATGTTTCAGTTGAAGCTGTTTGTAAACATTAAAGAGTGTACACAAAACTAGTAAAGCTGGAGAAGTTTGTTCCTTACAGGAGAATCCAAACTCAAATTGTTTAGCAACAAAGAACAATTTGTAAACACATTGATACTTATTATAGAAAATGTACTACATATTTTTTACATTACTTTGATCTGTCTTTTTTATGTATATATATATATATATTTCAATAATATCACTGTGCTTTTAAACCTTCATTGATTTTCTGCTGTATTAACATAATGTGTTTATCTACATAAGTGTAAGAATGGTATCACATACAACATTTACAGTGAAGCAAGCTGGAGAACCAATATAAGTGTGGGTTCTCAGTCAAGGGTGTAGTAAACCTACATAAAATTGATGGCACCCTGACTTCTTACTGGTACATATAGATTCTTATCTTGTTATTACCTCAGAAACAAGACTTTTTGGGCATAGATTCATCTTTCAGCAAAGCAAAGACTCCAACTATGCAGTAAATGAGTAAAACAATACATAGAAGACAAAAGGAAATACTGAATCATAACTTGGCATGCACAAAGTCCTGTTGTGAATATTATTATGGCTGTTTGTCAGGAACTTACTTTCTAGGAGTATATACTAAAGTAAATATATGGGTGCGTTGGGCTAAGGATTCTTCTACAGTAGGTGTCTGTGACTTGTTGGCGATAAAATTCAACAATAAACAAACAGCACACACTCCACTTGTTTTTAAAATAATATATTCAAAACAAGTTAAATCTATATACAAAATTCTGTACACTATGGAGATCATAGTTGTTTCTTAAACACTATACAGTTTTCTTCTTGTCGAAAGTCCATTTAGATCAATTCAGTTGCTTTGGAATTCAGTTGACAAACCTATCTATTTTTCTCTATTTCTATCACAATAGCATTTGTGTATAGCTCACTTGCATTATCGTTGAGTTGCTGCAGTTGTGTCCTGTACTTCAAAAGTTATCTGCTCCTTATCTCTTTGGGGCATCGTGAGAATCATCTTGTCAATTTTAGATTGTGGGATTTTTGCCCACTCTTGCTTCAAAACTTGGAGTAGGATCGCTCTTTGAAGTTGGTTTTTTTGGTTGTTTCTTGACTTGCCGGTCGAGTATGGCCAAGAGGGTTTCGATGGGGTTCATGTCAGGAGATTGGCTCTGCCAGGGCAACTTCTGGAT